AAAAAAAAAAAAAAAAAAAAAAAAAAAAAAGAAAGAAAGAAAGAAAGAAAGAAAGGGAAGGTGAGATAAAAGCCCTCCAGCCCCAGGCAAAGGGAGGGGTGTGGCCTGGGCCACCCAGGGGTTACGGGCCTGTTCTGGCCACCAGTGACTGAGGGCCCAGCAGGACCTACCCCACTGCTCCAGGCCAGCCCTGCCACAGTCTGGTCAGAGGTCACGAGGGCAAAGGAGCACTGAGATCCTGTGTGGGGGCTGACTCGCCCTCCTGGCCCATGACTCATGGAGGTCAGAAGAGGGCCTGCCACTCTCCAGGACAGAAAACCAGGCCCCGCAGGGTGGGAAAGACTGCACGAGGGACCCAGGGGTGGTCCCACAGGTTCAGGAAGCCTGTCTGGGGCTAATGCCCTATGCCTGCCTCGGGGAGCCCCAGGCTGTCGGCTTTGGAAGGATGATGCCAATGCCAGGCCCGGAGGAGCTGCTTGGCAGGACGGGCCGGCTGAGGAGGGCTTCTCCTCACCTCTGGGGGTCTTGGTGAGGGTGGGCAGGAGAGGAAGGAGGTGGTGGCAAGGTCTTTATACTCCCGACTTCCTTCGAGGAATGGATGACCCTGCAGTTATCTCACCAGCCAGGCAGCCCCACACCCTGGCTCCCCTACATTCCCCACAACACTCCTTGGGCCTTCCCTCTGGTCTTCTAAGTGGCTGCTCCTCTAGTCCAGGCAGCCAGAAAGGAGCACATGACCCGGGCACTTCTGCAAATACATTTAATGCACTTAGATTACACCGTAGAAGAGGGGCAGGGGATGACGTCTAAGTGAGTCACTCAGAAATTCTTACAGAAGTTCCCAGGCTGGCGGAAGCCCCAGGAACTGAGTCTCCACTGACATTAAAAATGAATAGAAAAGTTTACAAAAGTCTGCTCACTGCAGCATTCAGGTACTGGTACAAAAGCACGGGGTCTTCCCACAGGGCTCCTGACTTGTAACAGGGACCCCGGCACCTAACCTGGAGTAGAGGTCCTGGAAGCCACCGTGGGAAGACCAGATAAAAACACAGTCCGGGACCTCTACTGATCTGCCCCATAGGGGCCCCCACCTTCAGGTTTCCTCCCTGCTCTCACCCATGACCCGCAAAGCCCCTTCACGCCTCTAGGCCTGGTTTGCAGAAGGCTCTGGCTCCAGACCTGCCCTCACCCTTGGGAGGGAAGACAGGGAAGGCCCCAGACCCTGGCAGACCTGAGGCCTTGCCGGAGCCTCCCAGCCCCTCAGAATGGCGGCTGGTGTTGCCATGCTTACGCCCACACTGGAGCAGTGAGCCCCTGAAGTCTGCTTTTGACTGGTCACACGGCAGATGGGGAGGGCCCTTCTCAGGAGTGCCAGCATCAGGCGCTGGAGGAATGGAGGAAGACGCGGTGAGGCAGGGAGGCTCCCGACCTCCTCCCCTAGAGCTGCCAGGAGCTGTGCTGGGACAGCCCGAGGTGACGCTGACCTGATCCTCTATCAGGACCCTTCTCACAGGTCTGCAGCTCAGCAGAGCATCCTCGCGGAGAAAGCTCTGGAAGGAGCTGGGGCCACGGGAGGGGCGCCTGGGGCCCGCAGTTCTCCTGGGGCGAGCACTGTGCTGAAGGGGAATGATGGGGGCCCAGCCCTACAGGGCCTTGGGAGGGCACAAGGTTCCTGGCATGGTGCTGAGCAGGAAGGGGTCCTAGACAGCTTGGGAGCTTCCTCTCAGAGCTTAGCTACTTCTTCCTGCCATCCCTGCTCCCTAGCCAGGGCCACTAAGCTAGTGGTACCAACGGTCATAGACCGATGACACAGTTTACCGCTGTCCCAAGCCAGGCAGACGGAGACAGGGCAAAGGAGCAGGGAGCCCTTGGCGGGGCTCAGGGAGAATCTGGGGAGAAGCTGCTCAGAATGGCAAGGAATGGAGACAAGCAGATGCCACCTCTCTGCCCATGAAACATCGGAAAAGTGTCCAACAAAGGAAGGGTTGCCACATGGGCGAAGGCCAGTAAGCACCTTCTGGAAAGAGCCTCAGGGTTATCAGGTCCAGAGTGGCACTTCCCGTATGTCCCAGGTTGATCTGCCCGAAACACTAGTTTGAGTGCTCACAGGGCAGCCCCTCAGTGCAGAGCAGCAGGGTCAGGGGCCTTGGAGGTCCGCTCCTGCTCTCCCAAGAGCCCGCAGTGCCCTCACAGCCCTTTGGCTGGATCTCTCTGGAGAGGTCCTGAACTCTACGAGCACTCCTGCTGGTGCCCTGCAGGGTGGGGCAGGGCAGAAGCCCTGCGGGGGTCCCTGACAAAGTGCCTTTGCTTGGGAGAGGCCTGAGGGACCTCATGAAATAGCAGTTCCTTGAGTAGCGGGTCCCTGGGAAGATAGGGGCTTGCTGCTTCCACATCAGGAGTCAGAGATACCTCAAAGGAGCCCCAAACCATGGGCCAGAGATAGGCTGGCTTCTAGAAGGCAGACTGTGAGATCCAATCTTCTGGTGAGAGGCCAGGATACAGGAGAAGAACAGGACAAGGGACAGGGGATGAAAGATGGGAAAAGAATGGACGGAAGGAAGGCAGAGAGATGCGTCAGCAAAATCAAAGTGAAAGAGTTGTAGAGAGGGTGCATTTTCAGTTCGGAATCAGCTAGAGTCCTGCATCCTGGGAAGCTCACGGAATCAGGAAAGGAAGTCGGTGGTCAGTCGCGCATCCTGGCCCTGAGAAGAGCAGGGTGGTCTGGAGGTGGTGTGCCTGAGCCTCTCCTGGGAGGCCTGCCTGGGGAAGAGGTCAGGGAGATGAGGCTGTGGCCACCAAGCCCCTGAACCCAGTTCCCTGGGAAAGCAGCAGCCCTTCTCCCTGGCCCAGTGAAGCATCACCAGTCTCTTTGGCCCAGCTCCGGGAAGCAGGCCTTCCGCTCTGGTGCTGTGTGGGGAGTCAGCCCCAGGTCCCTATCCAAGAGGATGAGAAAGTTCATCTGGGAATAAGGTTTGGTTTAAAAACATTATATACATGGCTTCTAGACATTTTTGCTGAGCAATAAAATACCATCTGGTTTCTACAAAATAAAATAAGGAAGAAAATCAAACATGATCAGAGGAATTGCCCTGTTGCCTGTGGCGGAAGCAGCCTGACCAGCCAAGGCCTGCCCGAGTCCAGCTGGGCAGCACACCCCTGTGAGCACGCTGCAACTGGGATTTGTGGCAGGAGTGAGGAGCAGGAACTGTGGCAGCAGCGGGAGGACGGGCTGGTCCCAGGGCCCCAGCTGGGCAGGGCCCAGAGCTGAAGTAAGGTGGGGCAGGCGGCCCCTGCGTGACATCCACTGGGCTGCGGGTGTGACGGCTGCGGAGTCATCCTCACACATGTCCTTTGTTTGTGGGAGTCTTTCTTTTGCAGCTGTTATGCCGGAAGTCACCAGGGAGCACCTGGGCTCCCCATGGCCCCTGCAGGGCCCAGCCCCGGCTAGTGCAGTGGACTGTCGAATACCACATCTGGGAGGATGGAGATTTTGAGCTTCTTTTCAGGCCAGCTGTACTCTTTGGGAAGTTTGAACTGTGGGGGAGCAAGCACAGACCCAGCACACACATGGTGAGCAGACTCAGGCCTTCTTCCCAGAAACTTCACACCAGGCCCTGTCCATGAGTCTGGGGCGAGACAGGCCACTGGATGCCAGGCTCACTCTGGAAGGCCCAGATCCGGCCGCTGGGGTCCCCTTGCTGCTGCTTTCCCCTCTCCTTGCCAATAACCAACCAGGTCGGGGATGTGTGTTTTCAGCTCTTTCTTGACTGCGCTGATCTCCCTCCTGCTCACTTCCTTGGTTCTGCCTCCAGCCACAAGCATGTAAGGAATCTGCTCCCTGAGGCCCTGGGGCTGGAGGATGGGGCGCCAGCTAGGGTGCTGATGCTACAGGGAAGTGGCTTGAGTTCTGTCACTGCCAGGGCCTCGCCTTTTTCTTTCATGGCTTCTCTTTCTAAGGCTGTTGTGAGAAAGACCCCAGACTGATCCTCTGTGTCTTTCGCCCCAAGTCAGCCTCAAAGTCAGACTGCACTGTGGCCTCGGCAGGGGCGGAGGAGGAAGCCAGGTGTGGCTTGAAATGGTGCGCGCTCTGAAAGCGCAAGTCTTCATGCTGCTCCTGGGGTTGGAAGCTCAGAACGAGCCCTGTGGTGACCCGGGAGAGGCCAAGGCCTTCCACCCAGGAATCTCTAACCCACTCGTGCAAGGGGTTTCTGGCGGAGGGAGGGGAAGAGCTGACACTCATCCCCGTTGGATTCTAAGACCCTGCATTTAGTATGGCACATTGGCTGAGCCCCAAGTGCTCATGGACAAGGACTGAGGGTCTGTTTTTATTTTATTTTATGTGTCTTTTGCAAGGCTGGGGATCAAACTCAAGGGCTAGTGCACACCAGGCAAGTGCTCTGTCCCTGAGCTACATCCCTGGCCCAGGTCTGGCTCTTGACTCCCATTGGCTCAGGCCAGGCTGTAAGTCAGGCCAGGGTGGGAAGGAGAGAAAAGGCTCTCAGCCTGCTGGGCACTGGGCCAGAGGTCTGACGCTCCCTGACCGGCTTGCTCTGTCCTCCCCCTGATGGGCACTCTCTAAGCCAGGACAAAGTGCAGAGTGGGGCAGGGTGTGGGGAAAGCTTCTGGACAGGAAAGCAAAAGAAAAAAAGGGCATTTGTAGTGACCTACTTTCCTAGACTCCCCCTGGCTCCTGTCCCTTTCACCTAGACTCTAACCCTGCCATCCCCTCAACACCCAAACTCCAAGCAGCAGTCTGTTGCAGTGCACCCCAGTATGGCAAGGACCCTTGGGAAGCACTTCTGGGTGGCTGGCTCTGGTCCAAGTGAATCAGGGGGACCTGTGCTTCTCAGACTGGGGCCTTGAGAGGACTGGTGGGCCAGCATGGGACAGAGACTTGATGACTTTGGGATGTACAATGGGCTAATCCAGAAGATGGAGGACACAGTGGACTGCTAGGGTGACCGGCTCTGAGGAGCCCCTGACCAGTGCAGGCCATCCTGAGTGCCTGCTCCGGCCTCCGCAATATCGAGGGCCTCTGAGTGCTGCCTGGGAGCCCTGGGTGGTGAAGGAGCTCTCACCAAAGTACACTTCCCGGCAGACGGGGCATGGGAAAGGTCTGCCTCTGCCTCAGAAGCGAGGGCCAGAGAGCCCTCCAGAGGCCCAGGCAGCCTGCTAATGTTCCACTAACCCATCGGGCATGTAGGCCGGGAAGGCTCAGGTCCCAGTGGGGTGCTGGTTAGGAGAGGCAGGGGGAGGGTCAGGGACTTTCCAGGATGAGGCAAGTCCTGCAAACCAGGGTGCTGGGAACGAGGAAGAAAAACAAAGGGGACCATGGACTCCATTCCTGTGCCCAAGAGAAGTAGCCAAGGGACGGCATAACTACACCTGGACTGCCAGCCCACCAGGCCCCAAGCTGGCCAGGAGGAGGCAACTAAGGGGGCACTTATGGCTGAGGAGGAAGTGGGGAGGGTGGCTCATGGGTGGCCTGGGGCCCTCACCGCCCACCGGGACTCCCCAGTGGGATGTTCTCTGGCAGCAGACACGGGCTTTCTGTTCAAAACCTGCCAGGGAACAGCAGGGGCTGGGAGAACTCGTACTGGCCTGAGCGGCCTGGCTGCCTCTTCTGTGAGGTTCTTGGGAGTGGGCGATACAGTTTGCAGAGTCCCCGGAGCAGGGGCATGGCAGGGACAGGAGGGAAATGGAGCCGTCTAACTCCCAGGGGCTCCTCTCCAGCCTGTCCCCACACCACAGGCAGCAGCCTACAGATACAGAAACAAGTGCACACGCACACGGACACACATCAGGGGCATGTGCTCCCGAGGACCAGCCCCTCTGTGACAGTGAAATCAAACAGGCTTACTTCCTCTGGAGAAGTCAAATCTTCCAAGTCTTCCAGCATTTTCTCTACAAACTCTTCGGTCAACAGAATCTAGAAAGAAGGCATAAGGCAGGCCTTCATTATTTTTTGAGTAGACGGTCTGTTTACCTACTGCCCAGGGCCCCGGAGGAGGCACGGGCTCACCAGTCAGCTCCAGGGACAGGGCGGTGCGCTTGTTCCTTCCTGCCTACTCCCAACACCTCTCACCCCACCTCAGCCTCAGTCAGTCAGTGAAGCAAAGGGAAGGGGGCAGAGGGCAGGGGAGAGGCAGCCGGACAGTGGGAGGGTGGGCAGTGCTGCACCTAAAAGGCAGATGGCAATGGGTGGGGAGAAAACAAATCTTTTCTAGCTGTCCAGGCCTCCTGGCTGAGGCAGGGCAGCAGAGGGGCACAGAGAAGAGCCACTGTCAGGTCCTCCTTGCCCTTATCAGAATTACAGGCCCTTCCCTCCCTTGGCAGAACAGAAAGCATCTGAGTGTGGAATACGAGTCTGGATCTGGCAATGCCCCAGAAGGAACATCCCAGAATGTCTGAGCTGGAGAATGTGGAGACTGTGGACCAACCTCTCGTTTTACAGATGGTGAAGGGAATCCAATTTCTCTCTCCACCCACACAGTCCACATGCTCTCAGCCTGGCTCCCTTGCCCTACCCTGCTGCCCATTTAGCCTCCCAGCAGTTTTTACTCTTTTCTTTTGACACAGGTCTATGTAGCCTAGTTTGGCCTTGAACTTGGGGTCTTCCTGCTCAGGTTCCCAAGGGGTGGGCCTACAGGCATATGGTACCTCACCCTGTTGCCCCTGAGCAGTTCAAGACTTCTGAGACACCTCTCCTCTAGGTCCCTTCCAGCATCCCACTCTGCTGCTTTAGCCTGACACTTGTCACCTCATGCTTTGATGTCACAGGCAGTCTGGCCCTCTGTCTGGCAGGCACAAACACCACACCCAGTGTTCTGTGCCAGTGGGAATGATGACCACAGGGCCTGTAACAGGCTTCCTCAAATTGAGGGCCCCCTCCCAACCCACTCCTCCCGCCAGGTTGATCTGCCAACCAGGGTCCTCCCATGCTGTACCGTGGTCTATCAGGTCTTCACCTTCCAGACTCTGAACCACCCCCTCCTCTGTCCTGCCCACAGGGCTGTGGCTCTCCCTACCTTTCCACCTCTCCAGCAGATCCTGGGTCAGTGGAGTGGGGAGACCAGGGTGAGGGGCTCCTCTGAGGAAGGGCTCCTCTGAGGAAACGCTCCTGTGGGAAGGGTGGGGACCACACATTTTGGAAAAGACTACTCGGATAACAGAACTTTCCACACTGCAAGATGAAGTGGCAGAGAAAAGAAGGTGAGTGGTCATGAGGGACCTTTGGGGGTGGGGGAAGGAAGCTGATGTGGTACAAAACTGCCCGCACCCAAACAGACAAATCACCTTCATACCAGGGCTCTTTCAGTCTCCTTACAGACAAGAAGACAGGCACAGATAGGTTATAGCACACAGCTGCAGGGCAGAGACAAAACCACTCCAGCCACGTGTAGGCTGAACTCAGTATCTTATGAATTTCCTCCAAGCCCTGAACTCCTGGCTCCAGGACACACTCGGGTTCTCAGCAGGCAGCTCGTCTCCTAGGGTACTGGCCCCTTCCCTGCTGACAGCATTTGTCCCCCTGACTGTTGGGCCCGGTCTTCTCACCGAAGTCTGTTCCAGGAGTTCAGGCCTCAAGTGGAGACAGGAACAAGGGTGAGAGTCCAAGGGCAAAGCCAGCCTAGGGGAGCACCTCCCACCGGTGTCCCGGCTTCACTGTCCCTCTGATCTCCAAGGGGACAGCAGATCTTACTGGACTGCGGCCGTGGCCAGTCACACCCAGCCCTCCGAGGCCGAGGCCGAAGCCATGGTCCTCTAACTCTCACCTATCCCCAAGGCCAGTGTCTCTCCACCAGTTATCACCGGTCTGCTTGAGTAGTATAAGTTACACTCATATTTCCGGCATTTCCAGGGCTTGCTGCCATCTCTGCAACTGCTAGTACAAACCTCAAACCCAGTCATAGTACAATGGTTCCAGTCTGGGCCCACGGGCTCACTTAGAACCCACAGATAATTCGGAGGGTGTGGCTTTCTGCTAGGGAGTGGGACTCTTAACTAGTGCTGGGCTGCGGGGCCTGTGGCCACCCAGTGTGACCCACAGGGAAGGCAGTGCCATCAACACTTAGTCCCCAGCCTGCTCTTCAGTGCGGGGAAGGGTGAGCTGTGGGCACCATCTGTGTGGACCTATTCTGTACTCAGTGGGGGAGGCATGGCAAGACCATAGAATGGGGAAAAATCCTAGTCGCTCCTCCATTTTCACTTTGGTTGATTTGCTGGTTCCTGCTGGAAACTTCACATTATTTAAAAAAACTAAAGGGGAAATTTATACATGAAATCTGCACGATATTAAGGATGACATTCTCTGCAAAGAAATATGACAGACTGTCATAGCTCCAGGCACCTAATTTAATTTCCTTTGGGAGTTAAACCTTAGAAGCCTGAATTGAACAAACAGGCCCTGTTCTCTGTGTATTTCCGAGCGGGAGCTGAGAATGTTAACAGATCTTATCTTTGGGACACTGGAGATGACAGCGTGATGCAGCAGCTCTTGGGAGCACGCAGGGAACAGACTCGCCGTTGTGAAGCGGCTGTGGGAAAAGCCTGTGCAGCTCTGGGGCTGGGGCTCCTCAAGCTCGCGGGGTCCCGGTGGAGCGGCCTGGCCCGGCCGCAAGTGGAATGGGGAGGCCCACATGGGCCTGCAAGGGAGCGGACGCTCACCCCACTCTGCAGAAGAGCGGGTGCCAAGAGGGAGAGGGGATGGCCCACAGGACTCCAGAATGGAGAAGGGCTGTGGCTGCAGGAGGCTTTTCCAGATTGGAGAAAGTGCCCCACCCTAGAAGCCTGTACTGCGACGACTCTCTCCTCTCTGATGGGGGAGATCTGGCCTCTACCCACAGCCCAGAGAAGCAGGAATCCCACTGCCAGCCAGCCCACACGCTCCACTCCACAGGACTGGAGCCCCCAGGGTCACAGGGCCTCAGAAATGCAGGCTGGCCAGCTGGAGAGAAGGCAGCCTCTCCCCACAGTGCTCTGCGAGCGAGGCTAGTGGGGAGATTTCTAGGTCAGCCTGATGAGTGTGCACTTTGCAGCTCCTCTCTGAAACAAACAACAGTAAGACAAACTTTCCTCTAGCCTAGATAAAAGCAACAGAGATGATGAGGGGGTGACTTAGGCACACGCTCATGAAGAGCAGGCTATAAAACACTCGGGTCGGTGCAGAGCTCTGGGGAGAGGGGACCCTAAGCAGAGATGAGCAGCACAGTCCTGAGGGGCTTCTGAAAACACGGAGATGCGAGAAGACAGGCTCCCAAGTCAGAGACCCAGGCACCAAGGAGCTCACGGTGGGTAAGCGCCCAGAGGGAAAGAGAAGGTAGGCACAGCTTAACCAAGAGTGGACGGCCACAGATCCGCCGACACCTGAGCAGCTGAGCCGGGAGCAGGCAGTGGGCTGCTGCCACCCACCCTGACCCATGACCACGCAGGGGCTCGCACCGGCTCTTAGGACAGCCTGGCTGGTGGTGGTCAGGGAGGGCTGTCAACAGCCTTTCGATTCCCCAGGCCCCAACAAGTTCCAGAAAGGAACCTGAAAAAGGATCTTTTGTCTGTGCCTGCCCTGGGGAAGGCCAGCTGTGCCGCAGGCAGGGATCCAGCTGCTGCAGATCTGAAGCGATTCAAATGTCTGTGGTTGATGATATTTCGGAGTAGCTGACAATGCCCACTCCTTCCCCTGGGTATGACAATCCACACTTTGTCCAGGGCCTTGTTTGCTCTTTGTGCTGACACCCTGTTCTTGCTTCCCATCAAGTTTGGCTTTCTTTTCCCTTCCTTTCCCTCTCTCAGGCAAGCAAGGAAATGTGCTGCTTTACAGTGGCTGGGCTCGCCAAGGTGCCGCTCCAGCACCCAGAATGTCAGTGGAGGAGGAACAAGCAAGCAGTCCTAGCTGTTGTGACCCTTCTCCCCACCCAGGCCGGATAAAGCCAGAAAACAGCCTGCAGGCACCCCTCAGCCACTCCAGGAGGGGTAGAGCCATGTGCCTATGGCAGTGGGGGCCCAGTGGGGCTTCCAAGAGGCCTCGCTCATTTATTTCCTGTTCTCAGTGGGTGGCCAGAAGCAGGCTCAGACTCCTGCTCCGGCTGTTTGCTGCTGAGGACACGGTGGGGAGTTCAGGTCCTGTCCTGTCTCAGGTACACTGCTAGACTTTACATCTTACAAGCAGAGCCCTGGACAGTGAGGTCTCCGGACAGCCCAAGCAGAGGTCTCCAGGGACTATAGGTGTGGCCAAGTCCACCAGTGGAAGGAGAAATGGTGGCCATCACAGAGGAGCTGCCCAGGGCCTGAGCCAGGACAAGTCTCCTCCGTACAGCATTTGAAGGGTGGGTGGGGGTGGGCAGGAGACTGAAGGGCTGGTATACGGCAGGGTCTGCCCCTGGGCTTCGCGACAGCTGGGCAGCTGAGCCCACTCCTCACAGCTGCTGGGAATCTTCTCCCGAGAGTGGGGCACTTCGGGGCTGCTCGGGAGTGGCTTGGCCTGGAGCGCCTACCTGGGTGAGCTGTCAGACACCACACAGCTGAGAAAGCATTACAGGGCCCAAGAAAACATTCTCCTATTTGGTGATGTGAGTGCTCTGTGACCTCGGGCTTGAAACTTCTCCGTGGCTGGGCTGAGGTCTGCTCACAAGACCGATACCCAGTGACAGCGGGCCTCCGGGCGTGGGGACATGGGGCAGAGGTAAGGAGGACCTGGCAGCATCTCAAGACCCTCTTGCTTGGATGACAGGTTTTCCAGCCCTGACGAGGTGAACAAAGGGGCAGGGCAAACGGGAAAGTGAGCCGGTGTGGGGCTAGAGCCGCTCTCTCTGCAGCTCCTCCTGCACGCACGACTGCCCACGGCACCGCAGGCACCTTGCTCTTCTGTGCACTGGGTCCTGACTCTCCTGGGCCCAAGGGAGGGACAGGTGCCAGGCCAGGAGAAGTGGGTGAAGGGGCCCTCTGGGGCCATTCCATGGTACCCTGACCCAACGCCTCTCCTCCGTCACTCCTCCCCAGGCATGCAGGGTGTCTGCACCTTGCTTTCCACCCCGGAGATAACAGGTCTGGGCTGGGAGCCAGAGCAAGGTGCCAAAGCTGTAAGCAAGGCCTCCCAGGCCGATGTAAGAAAGTCCCCCCCGTGACTCTCCCGCTCCAGTTAGGACTCACGGGGAGTTCGAGCAGCAGCCAAGAGAACACAAGTCTCGTTTCTCTACATCCTGGGCCTGCTACATTCAGCTTCTTTCTGCTCCTCTGCCCCCAACAGGCTGGACACACAGACCCTAGGAGAGGCCCCCAGCCTGGGATCATGAGTGAAGGATGCCTTTGTGCTGGGTTCTCCCAAGGGCACCCCCCGCCCTGTGATTCGAACTCTAACCCAAGCTTCCAAAAATCCTGCAGATTCCCAGAGTGACAGCCACACCCCAGGAGAGACCTACAGGCTCACAAGTCATTACAAGCCTGGGTTCCCACAAGCTTAGGAGCTGCCTGTGGCCACAGAGGCAAGACCCTAAAGGGGAAAGTGAGCTGGCCTGCAGAGGCAGAAAGTGCTGACTGCTGTGGGGAGGAGAGGAGGGCTGGTGTGGGCACTGGCTCCAGAGCTGAGAACCTGGCTGGCCGGGGCAGCGTGGGAGAGTCTCCCAGAGTTCCTTGCAAAGGGTCTGAGAAACCCCTTGGTGACGGAGGGTGCAAAGTGGGGTGTGGGGCCGCAGCCAGCCTTCCCAAGTTCTCTGCAAGCAGGCCCATGGTGGACCACACTAATGAGCCCACAACACAGGCCCGTGATTAAGCAGCTCCCAGCACAGCGACTTTATTGAAACATGCCGAGGCCAGCGGCTCATTCCCACTGCTCCCTGGTTCCCTGGGCAACAGCCCACGGGTACCAAGTGCCCCAGCTCATTGAGGGGCTGCTAGGGAGGGAGATGGGAATGCCAGGAGCCAGGGGGTCAGGGGTTTGGGATTTTTGATGGGGTTCAGAAGCTTCCTTCTAGATGACCAAGGGGCCACACAACATCTGCTGAGTCCTCTGGGTGCTGCAGCCCTGGGGCGCCTAAGAACCAGTGATGCTGATCACACCATCTCTCAGGAAGGGAGATACTCCAAGGGTCTGGCAGGACTCTGAGGGCAAGTTCAGAGTTGAAAATGTGACATAAAACTGGATGTCTCTACTCCCCCCCCAAATGCATGCACAGGGCCTCTAAGGACACTTTTGCTGAGAACTGTCAGCACGATGTCATCTCCTGGAATGACAACCTGTGAGCTCTCAGGAGTTGGGGTCCCCTGCCCAGTCCCCACCTCCAACTCTGCCAGGGGAGCGGTCAGTGCTCTCATGTTCTTGGCAGAGGCTGTGTCCACCTGGGACACGGCTGGGGTGGGGTATAGGGGTTTGCACTTGTGCTGGGCTAATTTCAAATGTTACACTTCAGAGTTTTTGCTACAGTAACTACCAACACCTCCTGGACAGAAAGCTAATGTTACCAAGTGGGACTTTTAAAATGTATTTATAACTTTATGGTTCAAAGTAATTTTGTTATGAAACAATGTAATAACAATGGTGGAAAAAGGCAAGATAATTTATGGAACACAATATCCCCGAAAGCACTAGCTTCCATTTCTAACTCAGCTGAGTCTGGGGAGCGTGGCTGGTGTCCTTTGTTTGCTGTTTGTTTTAATTAAGGGTTAGGATTTTGGGGGAAGGGAGGAGGAAGCTGGCTTGAAGAAGAAAGAATACTGCAAGCAGATAAATATACTGACAAACATGTCCATATTAAGAGTATATATGCTTGGCAACTCCAGACACACTCAGTCACTGTATCTTCACTGGAAGAAACCCCTTCACTGGAAGAAAGATAGTCTCTTTAATAAACGGTGCTGGAAAAATGGGCTTTCTACTTGCCACAGATTGAAACTAGACCCATATCTTTCACCATGCACTAACATAAAATCGAAATAGATCAAAGAACTAAATATTAAAACAGAAACACTAGGCTGGGGATTTAGCTCAGTGGTTCTGCTGCCTGCCTTGCAAGAGCAAGGACCCCAATTTGATCCCCAGTAGCAAAAAAACCCCAAAATAAAACAAAACAAAACAAAACAAAAAACAGAAACACTGAATCTGCTGGAAGACAAAATAGATAGAAGCTTGAGGACATAGGAGTAGGCAAAGACATCCTGAACAAAACCCAGACCGCATGGGAAATACTACAAAGAATCAACAACTGGGAACTCATCTTGTTAAAAAGCTTTTGAGCAGCAAGAGAAACCACCAACAGAGTGAAGAGACAACGCACAGAGTGGGAAAAAATTTTTTACCAACTATTCAGATAAAGGACTATTATCTAGAATAGATAGCTGGGGATTTAGCTCAGTGGCATCATGCCTGCCTCACAAGCAGAAGGTCCTAAATTCAATCCCTGGTACCAGAAAAACAAACAAACAAACAAAACAGACCCCCCCCTTTTTGGTACCTGGGATCGAACTTGGGTCCTTGCGCTTGTAAGGTAGGTGGCAGAACCACTGAGCTAAATCTCTAGCCTCCCCCCTTTTTTTTTGGTTTTTTGAGACAGGGTCTCACTATGTAGTTTAGACTGCTCTGGAACTCACTATGTAGCCAGGCTGGTCTCGAACTCACAGCGATCCTCCGGCCTCAGCCTCCCGAGTGCTGGGATTATAGGCGTGTGCCACCACAGCCAGCCAGACCCCCAAATTTAAAGACCCAATGCAAAAATGGGCATCCAGAGTAAAAAGATCCTTCTCAGACAAAGACTTAGAAATGGCAGCAGAGCATGGTGGCGCACACCTGTAATCCCAGCACTTGGGAGGCGGAGGCAGGAGATTATCCTGAGTTTGAGACCAGCCTGGGCTACACAGTGAGTTGAGGGCTAGCCTGAACTGTAAAGGGAGACCTTGTCTCAAAAAAACCAAAAAACAAAAAACCCTCTCCCCAAAAAGAGTTAGAAATGGCAAAAAATGTATGAAAAAGTGTTCAACATCACTGGTCATTTGTGAAATCAAATTAAAACAACACTGAAATTCCACCTCACTCCAGAAGGAATGGCTGCTACTAAGATATCAACCAATAACAAATGCTGCTGGGGCTGTGGGGTAAAAGGAACCCTTTTCCATGGTTGGTGGGAGTGTAGACGGGTGCAACCACTGTGGAAATCAGAATGGAGATTCCTCAAAAAACTAAAACTAGAGGTTCCATTTGACCCGGCTGTTCCCCTTGTTATCTTCCTTAAAGAGTTAAAAGCATCACACCACAGTGATACATGCAGACCCATGTTTATACAGCACAGTTTGTAATAGCTAAATCTTGGAAACAGCCCAGATGCCCATCAATTGATAGTGGATAAAGAAGATGTGTGTGTGTTTTTTAAGTAAAATGGAGTACTACTGTGCCATAAAGAAGGATGGGCTTCAGAATGGATGGACCTTGAGAGAACACTCAAGTGAAAAAATTGGACATAGATATTTAAATATCGAATTGTTTCACTGGTGTGAGAAACCAAAAGTGGAAATAAGGGCTGAAATGTATAATGGGTGTTGGGAAATGAGAAGAGGAACAAGTGGGGGGAGGAAGGGACAAGAAAAAAAGTGAAAATGGAAAGGGGGGCTGGGTGGACAGAACACAATAAAAGAGTACATATGCTTTGCAGGCCCCTAGGTTGGGTTAAACCCACAAAACCATTACGACCCCACACTGTACTTCTCCTAGATTCTCTTCAGCACAGCACAGCGAGGCTGGGTCATCTGTCAGACTGGGGTTAGATTTTCTTTCTCCCTTTGTCTCTCTCCCCTCCCTCCTTTCCTTCCCCTCACCCTCCTCTCTCAGAATTCTCCCTTCCTTTCTCTTTTCTGTCCCCTCCCCTTGCCGACGCTGGGAATTGAATCCAGAGCTTTGTGCGCGCTAGGCAACTGCTCTCCTACTGAGCTACACCTTGGCCCCGAACCCCTTCTCGACACCCCTGAGAAAGATAAAGGGAAGCGCTCTTCCCGCAACCCCAAAAGCCACAAAGGAGGCAAACAGGGCGCAGCACTGGACAGGGTGGGTCCAGCCCAGCACTGAGTTCGGCATTGGCTCTGAAGTGCAGCTGTATGGCACCAGCCAGCGGGGTTTCCATCAGTGGGACAGCAGAGCTGTGTGAGGGGCACCTCTGGCCACTGCAGCCTACTCATCTCAGCCCTGGAAGATGCCACTTTCTACGCATTCTGGTAAGATTCCATACTGCTGCTGCAGAGTGGCTTCCACACTTCCAGTCATGCTTTGCCCTTGGTTTCCTGTACCTTAATTTAGTCAGGATGTGGAAAGCCCTATTTCCCCATAGCTGGATTTCCACAGGAACCAGAAGTACCACTGGCAGTGGTGCGGGGAAGGAGCCAGGAAGTATCCTGGAACCGCTGGCACAGGCAGCAGCAGCCACACTGCAGGACCACACAGAGGCCTCAGGCCCTGACTCCACCCCTCAGGAAGGGGCAGCACCAAGAGCAGCCCGGGGAAGGGCAGGTGGGTGGGAGCCCAGGGAAAGAAGGTAGGGAGAAGAAAAGGGGGCCTTCTCACTTGTAACCAGGGTCCGTGAGCCGCGTAAGGATGCTCCTCGGTGGCAAAAGCACCTTCCACGCCCGTGGAGACAAACGTGATGGCCATATCACCCGTGATACTTTTATATGTAAAGTGCCGTCCATGCAGGAGCCTGCCCCTGGGGGTAGGAACACGGAGACAGTGAGGAACTGGGTCTGCAAACAGCCCCAAGTGCAGCAGGGCTGGCCAGGGCCCTGGGACTACAGAGCCATTGTTGCTTGGGGTTGGGTGTCTCGCAAATGCCTTCCTGATGGCCCACCTGCCCACTAACAAGGATTCAGCCAGATACGTTCACTGCAGCACCTTCAAAAAGAAGCGACCAGCCAGGTGTGACGGCATACATCTGTGATCCAGCACTCTGGGAGGCTGAGTCAGAAGGATCACAAGTACAAGTCCAGACTGAGCAACTTAGTAACTCAGAGACCCTGTCTCAAAATAAAAAAATTCAAGAGTCAGGCATGGTGGTACATACTTGTAATTCCAGCACTCGGAAGGCTGAGGTAGGAGAATCACAGTGAGTTCAAGGCCAACCTGAACTACAGTGAGACCTTGTCTCAAAAAAACCACTGCCAGGCATAGTGGTGCACGCCTGCAATCCCAGCACTCGGGAGGCTGAGGCAGGAGGATCGCTGTGAGATTGAGACCAGCCTGGGCTACACATTGAGTTCCAGGGCACTCTGAACTACATAGTGAGGCCCTGTCTCAACGCCCCCCCCCTTAAAAAACCCAAACCAAACTAAACCAAACAAAACTTTTAAAAAAGGCTGGGGATGTAACATTTGAAGACCCTGTGTTAAATCCCCAGTACTGGATAAAAACGAGCAAGCAGCAGCCTTTGTCACCCTTCTTTGATGCCAAGCTTTCGAAGTGCTCGAAGCTGGCAGAGACAACTCTGGAGCAGAATTCAGAGCCCGGATGACAGTGGAGACCACCTCTGCACCCCAAACCCTGAGGCCAGAGAGGGAGATCAGCAGTGTGCCCAGGTCCTGCTGGAGTGGAGAGGATGTCGCCCACCTGCACAGCAGGACGCCTGACAACGTCCAGGGCAGGATCTCCCTCCGCGCTTGGCGCCCTGGAACATCTGAATGGCTACAGCACGGCGCTGGAGAAAAGCTGAAGCCCCACGGGTCACCCTCAGTCCTGTCTCTGTCGGGAAGCATACCTGGGGGTGGGCAGGGACGCCAGGGAGCAAAGGAAGCGCACAAAGCCTGCTTCCCCAGCCCGTGGCATCAGCCCTCCCACTTGTACTCCACCGAGTGAGCAGCAGCTGGGGAGGACGGGTCTTGTTCCCTCTGACCACTTGCTGCCTTCGCCCATTGTGCCTGGGATGGCTGGCCAAGTTGGTTACTTTCCAAACTCATTCCCAGGACTCCAGGACACCGTGCGACCACTTCTTCCTTGTCACTGTCCCGAATTTAGAGTAATTCCCTCCCTCTTTTTCTGTCCTTTCTTCTCTCTCCCCCTTTTTTTTTTGAGACAGGGTCTTGCTGGCTTTGAATTAGTGATCCTCCTGCCTCAGCCTCCCAAGTGCTGGGATTATAGGTGTGCGTCATCAGTGTGCACCACCATGCCCAGCTTTAGAGGGATTCTTACTGCCTCCTTGGCTAGCAAGGCTAGCAGTATAAGGGTGGAAGCTCGGAAAGCTGCACAGTGCCTGCTGCAAGAGTCACCCCAAAGCAAACTCCCCGAGCAGACAGTTGACTTCCAGCTTCAGTGTGGCATTTCTGACTTTGGTCAGCAGCAGAAGGGACACAGTTGGACTTCCGGTTTCTCAAGGGGTCAGTTGCTATGTGCAAAGACTCAAGTGCTTTGAAAGCAAAAGAAGCAAGCAGGAGGAAACAGAGCCTGCCCCACTGGAACCCACTTCTCAGCAGCGCAGTTTTACTGGTGACCCTGGGCTTGGGCATGGCAGGGTCATCTGAGATGCCTCTGGTTACTGAACCTCCCCAGGGTGAGCACAGCTGACAGGCAATTCCTGAACGAGGAAGTGTTCCTTAGCACCCATCTCCTGCACTAAAGGCTAAAGACCAATGGGGCTCCTGCCACAGTCCTCTGCCCTCTGAGGGCTGCCACTGTTCTGAGCTAAGGCATGTAGAAGAGAGGCCCTCCTGGGTCCAATTTTATCTCACAAGGCCAACTGGCTGACCCCACTGCTTGAGACTTCGTAAGGCCCAGCTGCCCTGAGGCTGGGTGGAGGAACAGTGTACAGCCCAGAGATGGAGGGCTTACTGGCTGGTTGGAGCCCCGGGCTCCCACACAGGCCAAAGTGATCTCCCTCCCTTGCCCGACTGTGCTTAGGTAGGTGGGCTAACCACAGGCACCTCCCCCGCTGAACGACAGCTCCCTTGAGGTCTAGCTGCATGGGGGCAGTCTTGGTTCACCTTAGGCAGAGAGGAATGAGGGCTCCGGACTCCTGGTTGAATTTCAAATGTACGCTCTCGAGTTGCCGTGTGCGGATCAGCTCATGGGGAACTATGGCTGTGGAGCTATCGCTTTCTAGGCTGTCTTTGCGGCTCCTGCAAAGCAAGCACAGGGACGGGTTCAGTGCACATGAAGACTTCTGGGAGCAGCAGCTGGGGGCTCTGGGCTGGGTTCCTGACTGCCGACAGTCACGGCACCCGACTGTGCCTGCCAGTGCCAGCTGTGACCCAAGCACCTCTCACATCTGGCCGCTGCTCGGGATGCTTCCTCCAGGTGGGCACTCCTGCCATTTTCCTCTTATAGACAAGGAACTGCGACAGGCGGGCCAAGTCACCCAGCCAGGCCCCACGGTCAGGGAGGGCTGGCTTGAGAGCCTATCTCTGTGAGCAGCACCAGCACAAAGTCCATGCCACAGAGGCTGCTGTTCCCCCGTGATATGAGCAGGGTCTCCTGAGAGCTCTTGCTCTCCCCTTCCCTGAAGCCCAAGACTCTAGCTCTCCAAGGCTGGCATGGGCAGCACCTTGAGCTCCAGCTCCAAGGACTTCTGTCCAGCAAACCCAAAAGGCTCCTCTCATGCCCACTCCTGCTCACAGCCAACGCTGCAGTGACACAGACACCCTTCACCCAGCCAGTCCTCACGCGGGAGGAGAAGGTGGCCCCTGGGTGTCCGACCACTGGGCCTGCTGGGAGCCCTGTACTGATCCTGACTGCTACAGCTGCCCACACTCCTTCCTGCCCTGCCTCCCACCAACAGCCTGTCCTACAGTTGGGCCACAGGGCCCTTTGCATTCTAAGATTTGCTCTTTCAGATTCAGCCGCCCTGACAGCCTCTCAAACCCGCCTCTGCAGGAAATGAGAGTCACCCACTGATCCCACTCAAAAGGCCGGATTCTAGTTTGGGCTGTGAATCTTGGGACAGTTCCCCAAGTGTCTATCAAAATACCGGGTGAGAAGTTCTAGTTATTTATCATTCAAGTGGCAGGCAGGGACAACCTCCTCCCATCCTGGGGGAGCACTGGGGCTGCAGCCAGAGGGGTGGTGCATGGGGAGAGCCCCTCCCCAGGGCAAGGGGCAAGGGCAGCGCTGGACAGCGAGGCCCAGGCTGAAGGGGCAGTCACACTCTGCTGAACTGCCTCTCCCTTGTGAGGATCCACAAAAGCAGTCCCCTCCTCTGGCTTCCCAAACCTGAGTCAGGAGCTGTGTTTACTCCTGGCTTTTCCTTGGCAAGTTTTCCCAAGACCTGTGAAGAAGACAGACACTATATAGCCAAGAGGGTCACGGATTTTGAGAACTGGAAAAACACAAAGGTTATTTAATCTGCCTCTTCCTTTATATAAAAGGGACACAAGGAATCCAAGGCCGCAGAGCTGGTCTGTGGCTGGCCAGCATGGGAACCTTGGACTTGTGACCAGTTCTCTCCTCCTCCAGGGCTTACTGTGCCTCAGGGCCACACTGAACCCCTCAGCCAGGCGCTACTGAAGGGCTCAGGGGAGAGGCAAGGGGCCCTTGGGGGCCAAACAAAAGCAGAAAACAGGAAGTAAGGGCAGCCCGCATTTGCTGAGTGCTTCCTGTGCTGCCTGCTCGATCCACAGGTTCACTCGCTGCACCCTCACAGCAGCCTGAGGCAGGCACTGCTGTTAGCTCTCACAGATGTGGTGATGGGACGCGACCAAGGTCAGACAGCCAGGATTTTCAGCTCTCAACTTTGACTTTTTGAGGAGCTGGGAATGTAGCTCCGCACACGTGCTAGGCAAACACCGCGCCACGAGCTACACCCTGAGGCTCTCACCTTGAGCTGAGGTGGAAAAGCTCTCATCTCTCCCCTGTGCCATCTCCCAACAGCTTCTTACACCAGACACACCACCATGCTCCCAAAGGGGCTGCCAGGATCCCAGCCTCTCAGACATGGGCAAAAATGCTGACAAACAGCAGTGGGAGGTGGGTGGGGGCTGGTAGAGACCCAACAGCACACAGCCTAGAGATGTCTCAGGCTGGAGGGAAAAATAAATTGTTGAAAGTCAGCTAAAGTCACCTTGGTAACTGCCACAACACACTCACCCGGAACAAGGACATCAAACCCAACTGAAAACAGCTTTAAAGAAATGGAAAAGAACTTAATCATCTGAAGAATTAATGTGACAAGTGCCCACATTTACACCTCCCACCAACCTTCAATCACTTGAAAAAAATGTACTTTAATCTTTTAAGAGAAGAAAAACTGCAAAATGCTAGATCTGCAGTACTAAAGCTTGGGTATTTCCGGCAGGCTGCTTCAATGGAAACGCGGCCACTCACACACACACAGGAGCCCAGCTTTTTGCTGATTTGTTTTTTTCTGGACATCGATGCAGAAGCATGAATTATTTGTGTGGGCTGGGTGAGGTATTAAATCTGCAGCGGACACAGGTTTGCAGTGTTTTGCATGGTTGTCAGCTTAATCTTAGTCATACAAAAATAAGTAGTATGCTCAGCAGCATGGCCTAATTTTTCAGCTGGGCTGTTTTCTCCCAGAGTTCCCAATAGAGAAGGCAGAGGCTGGGGGCCGGCAGGGAGGGGCTCCGGGAGGCGGGGCCCAATCTACTGGGGTCTGCAGGCACACAGGGGTCTGCTCCAGGAGGGGTGCTGAACAGCATAGGCTCCCGGGTGAGTTCTGTGTGACCTTGGTCAAAAGATTTAACCTCAAAGCCTCAGTGTCTTCTCAATGGGAATAAGTAACGGGAAGGTCACTATACCAAAGCAGTAAGTGCTCAAAATATAGTTGATGCTTTTAGAGCCTCTGTGTTCTGCCTATAAGAGCGTCAATGGCTTAACAGAAAACTTTCTTGTTTCCTGGGCCCAGAATCCAACTGTCTCTGACCAGGTCAGTTCCCCTGCTGAGCAAAGGTTCTGCCCTGAACTTGGGAGAGGGGACTTCAGAAATGGGGCTTGAAAGGGCTCCTGACTCCTGGTGTAGACACTGTGGGTCCCGGTCAAGCAACAGTGAGATCAGATGAGGCCAACAAAACCGAGGTCTTCACTCTGCTGAGGAGGCGCTAGCCAGGCCAGCTCCCTTCTACAGAACACAATCTGCCTCTCCGCAATTCTCAGAGCACTGGCCTTCGGATCACTTCGGACTCTGGTCGAATCCATCTTCCTGTAACAACATTTTGAATCCCGAAGGCTGCTTTCACATCCTAACGACAGCTTCTTTTTCTATGATTGGTGGCCCCAGCTTTCAACTGTGCTCTTGACCAGGTTCTGAAATCCATCTATTCAAGCCTCTGTTCCTTAAATTTACTGTATGTAGCTTGTTAAACTAGAGTGTGGTGTCCAGAAATGAAATGTTGTGTGTGAAAATAGATACAGTATGAGGGTTACCCAGGGAAGATCCCAGGGCTGCTCCATTTCTCTCATTTGGCATCACTGAACTGTCTATTCTTTGTAACCTCATCAAACTACCAACTCATACTATCTGCAGTCAACAAAACCTCCTTTCCCCTCTCTCTGTGTCAGCTGGCAGGGTTTTGGGGAGTTTGATAACTGTGAACTTGACTCTGGCCTCTGTCATACTGGCTCTTGCTCCTGACCTGCATCACTGGCCAGCAGCATTTGCATCCCAGGCTGCCTGAAGGGCAGATGACCGTGCCCTTCGCCCACACCCAGTGAGATCACAAAGCTCACCCTCTCCCCTCCACCCCTGCCCTCCGGATGCTCGCTGTACACCTTGCCTATAATGCTGTCAGAGAATTCTCAAAATGCCATGCTAACTCTTGCCAGCACGAGGTCCCTGGTACTCCTCTGTTTGCCAGGCAGGGCCTGACTTTCAGGCTCTCAGGGCTCACTTTCCCTTAGAGAATTCAAAGTCTCCTCGCTGATAGTCTAGAGTTCTCCAGGGAGATGGCAAGATGCTCCTGACAGCAAATGTGCACTGGCTCCCAGCCCCTGCCAGGACCCCTCTCCCTACTCCCAGTTGCAGCTTAACCGATTCTGGTACAACATAGTCCTCCTGCCGGGCATGGTGGTGCACACCTGTAATCCCAGCACTCGGGAGGCTGAGGCAGGAGGATCGCTGTGAGTTTGAGACCAGCCTGGGCTACAGAGTGAGTTCCAGGTCGGTCTCAACCACATAGTGAGACCCTGTCTCAAAAAAAAAAAGACACAATCCTCCTTCTGGCTATTATTAAATTATTCCAAAAATCTGAGCTGTGTGAAGAACTCTACATCTTGCCCTGGGCTCTGGAGGTATTGTGCCTCCTTGCAGTTTTAGGGAACCATTTACAAAAATAGTATGGAGAGACCTTTTACTGAGCTTAGATATGACAATGGTCCTACGCCAAATCCTTCATAAATGGCTTCATTTTCATAACATCCCTATAAATAAGTGTTATTTTCCTCATTTTACAGATGAAGAAACTGAAACTGAGACTTAAATAACTAGCCTAGGTCATGCAGTGAGCAAATAAAAGCTGAGACAAAACCCCAGATTCTTCTGATGCCGGCTAAAATGTCAGTGTATTTCTCTTTAAGAAATTTCCATTCCTTTTGAATGGACTTTTCTTCTGGGGTTTCAGGGCCATAAACACACATCTCTTTTCCCTGAACTCAAAAGAACTGCTTCCCTGGAAGACAGGTCAGGAATTTTCAAAGGGTGATTGATGGAATTTTCAGAGAACCTTCTAGAAAAACAGGAATGGTAAGGACTAGATGCAATCTGTTGCATCTCAGACTAGGGTCACAAAGCACCAGCATCTGAATTCTGAGGACACCAGGGAAAGTGGGCCAGCTTCGTCTTGTGTGAGCCAGGAGTTCCCACCCTTTCTTCACCTAATGTTTACACAAATAGCCAGGCACACTCTGGCGGGGCCTTGGGTTTCCCTTGCCTTCTGCCTGCTCAGGCTGCTTTCTTCTGAGGTTATGTGTAGCTTGTCAAGCTCCTTGTTGGTCAGAATCAGGCCCAGGGTCAGGATCCCCTCCTTGCCTCTTTCACCCTGAGATGGGGGCAACCCCGAGGGACTTGTCAGATGGCCCCGCTGCTCACCTGGGCTTGACCTGGGGACAGTGTACTTTCCACTTGGAATGAGATGTCTTCTTGTCATTGAGCAGAGCAAGGGGTAAC